ACACTATGGAGATCATAGTTGTATCTTAAACACTATATAATTCTCTTCTTGTTGTCAAACGTCCACTTAGGCCAATTCAATTGCTTTTTAATTCAGTTAACTGTAGTTTTATCGCAATATTATCCGTGTATAATTCACTTATGCTGTCATGTGAGTTACCGCAGTTGTATTCTGAACTTCCAATAATCGTCTGCTTTTTGTCAAAATCCACACAAGCTGGTTCAATTAGTTTAGAACACCTTTTGACGAGACAAATTATTCTCATCTCTTTCAAACTGTTAATCTCACTGTAACATATCAACATTAAGCCATTCACTCCCAGGACTTCTCTTTTACTTACTTTTATTTTACTCTATTTTCGCTCGTCTGGTCGCAGCTATTTATACGTCTATCATTTAGGCCTTCTAGAAATATCCATAGCCTCGACACCAATGGATTGCTAACACAACGTTCGATAGCCTTGACATCAATGAATTGCAAACACAATACAGTCTTTTATATCTGACACTACTGACAGAAAAGCCGATTTGATCGTCAGCTAAACAAAATAATATGAGTGATAATATAGTGTCAGACTATTGTTTTGTTACATACTCACAGTGAGAGGCTTTATAAGTGAAAACTGTGGGGAATGGCTTGTACATTTATTTTACTCTGTTAGAATACTGGCCTTGTTAGGGCAACTAGGATAGTTTATTCAAAAATCATTGAGTAGTCTGTATCTTCTACAGTCCACACACACACACACACACACATATACTTACATGTAAAAAAATAAAAATTGTTGGAATTTTGAATACAGTCTGTGTGCCCCTCACAGTGGATCAGCGGTAAATCTGAGGGATTATAACGGTAAAAATGGGGTTTTCATACCAGTGGTGGGCAGAGCACAGATAGCCCATTATGTAGCATTGAGCTAAACAAATACAAATCTTTGTGACGTCGACTTCCATCGGAGATATATTCAGGCCAATACCAAATCAACTGAACTACAATTTCTTTTACTTTTTTTTTTTTTGTTGCTGTTATGTTGAAATTATTTCTCCTTCTAAATAGACTTTTGGAATATCATAACTAACTATATTAGTTACGTGATAATTGTACTAGGCAATATCTGGCCTGAAATGTAATGCTACGAATTGAGGCATGAATTGTCACTTTTTTTTTTTTTTTTTTCTTTTTGAGCCATAGTACATAATCCGTTTGTCCAGTGAAAATAACGCATGATACCTGCTGTATTTGATTAACTAGTCATTTTTGTTTAGCAATAGCTTCTCATACTCGCTACTGATCTGCTCGCTCAGGTAGGTCCTCATTAGCAGCATTAAGGCGATATAATGTAGATGACTGCCAAACTTGAACCCTCATTCGATTGCTTGTCTATTTAAAATTCGCTTTCATGGTCTACTGAATTTAATGAAATTGATGAGTAAACTGGAATGGACGGCAACTACCTGTTGTAAAAACACAAGTGTAGATGACGACGTTTCGAAAGTTTTCTGTCGAACCGTCGTCCTCTACACTTGTGTTTTTACAACAGGCAGTTGTCGTCCATTCCAGTTTACTCATCATGAACACTCTGCCTTAACAATCTATTAATCGAAATTAATTCAGTCAATCTCACATCAACTTGAGACAGCAGACAGACGAATACCTTATGTATATATTATTAAAAGAGTAACATGTGTGCGATCATAGGAAGCTTTCTAAACTTCTTTAAAGTATGCAAAAAATTATATTAGGAAAGTCCGAACCACGTCACCATAAGCGTAAGGGATGGGTAGATGTAGATAGAACTATGCATTGCAAAGGGAAAGGTATTTGAGGTATGGACCCGTCATCCTCAGGAGCTCCATCTCGGACAGCAGTATTTATGTGTTAAAGTTTAGCGAGTGAATTTCATTTGTTTACAGACACTTAAGAGTACTTGTACCGTCATCATGATCAGTTTAATACTCGACACCAATACCCAGGTTTAGAAAATGTCGCTAATTTGGTGTGTCTTACTAGACAAATCGATGAATGTCATTTTTGATCACATCATTCTGTTTAATCACAGTCACCAAGACGCCTTGCACGGCTATCAGATTAATTCAGAACTCTTCGTACACTAGTAGTCTAGGCAGGTCACATAAATGTTTTAGTTATTTAAGTAAATAGAACTACTTTTATATTTTATAAACATTGGGCATTAAAATACAAAATATGACAGTAAATACAAATTCATACCCAAAGTACAATTTTTCCCCCTAGTTTTTATTATTATCATCATCATTAGATTCCTCATCCCCCTTCTTATTAATAACAGTTAAGATTTGTTTATTCACAGACAAATATTTACGTGTACTATAATTGTTTCTTAAATACAATTTTAACACCACTAGTTAACAATTTGTATCCAACGTTTTAGGACTAGTTTGGAAATGTTCAAAGTTACGAAATATTTCAAAGTGAATCTCTTCAGCATAAATGTTTAAAGCAATTGACTTTACGTTTCTCAGAAAAAAAAATCTCCAAATATTACTTAGAGTTCATACATAATTCTCTTTGTGCAAATTGCTAGTTATTAATGTTTTATGTCTAGAGTATCGTAATGTCAAAATCCATAACAAATAGTTTCCGGACTTACAATGCTAAAATTTAGGGCTTGATTTACCACTGTGGATATTGCATAAATAGCTCATTGTGGAGCTATGCCCTAAAACCCAATAACAATTCAAAGAAGAAGAGGCTGACCTGTAAAATCTCTCCTCTATTTTTATTATTGTAATTATTATTTAGCATTGTATGGTGTTATCCTACAGTAAAATATATTATAAAAAATTGTTGTTTAAAAAAAATTTCAATTGAGGGATAACTATTTATTTTGAATAATGTATCAAGCTTGAATCACCCATTGTAGTTCAGAGACAATATGGAGCTGCCAACACACGCTGGGACTTCGTGCTCTATGGTACCTTCAAACTGCCATATTTGATGAAGCTCATTACACTACCCAAAATGAATGACAAATATTCTACAAGTAAATGCAGAAGTAACGAAAATATATTATATATTCTTTATTTCCATGTCATTCCACATCATCTACAAAGTCTCCCTATAGTTAACAGTTACTTTATTTCCACGATATGAAAATAGAAGCTTCTTTTTAAAATAACCTAGAATAATCTTTTTGAGCAAATTATATTGGCATTATTATTTTGTACACTTTTGTTACATGCATAATGCTTGTTGGCTAATTTTTTTTTTTTTTTTTTTTTTTTTTATAATGAAAATATAAATTTTCACAACAATGAAAATATAAAAATTTGGTAATATGTTGTTATTAAGCAATAAATTTGTTATTAATACCAACAAGCAATTAATGATTTAACTGTTCTTGAGGACATTACCCTGCAGAAGGAGGAGGAAAAAAAGAGAGAGAGAGAGATAGAGAGAAGGAAAGATAAGAATGGAGTTTAGTAATACTAAATTTGGTCACTAAAGACGTGTTTTTAGGCTCCTGCATGTTCTGATGGCGTAAGTGATAACATGCACTCAATATGTATGTACGGGGACAAAATTTGATTTCTGGGATGCCAGACTCTGGACGGTACCTGCTGTGTACAACCCTTGACAAGCTAGTCCATTAGCCTGAGAAGAAAAAAAGATTCAAAAGGATTAAAATCGTTACAAAAAAAAAAAAAAAATTATAATTTTGAACTTTAAACATTTTCTACAAGCATAAAAAGAATTACATTTACTTAAGAAAATGATTTATATATGCACCAATATTGGCAATCAATACTTTTTATCAAGCTGCCCAATTGCAATAAAGACTTTAGATTCAGGTCTTTTTAAGCTGTCACCATTTAAATATAATTACGAAAAGATGAAGCACTATAATGACAAAATTTTGTTGAAGCAAGAAAGATCAAGCTCACAAGTCCAGAACAGGCACAGTCTCATTTCCATACCACTGTATTATAGCTATGCCTATTATGGACTTATGAAAAGTTTCATCTTAAGTATAAGAAGATTTTTCTTGACACCTTATTCTTAACCACAAGAGAAACTCCTTTGTACTTAGAAAGGAATTTAACCAGTTATTTTTCAAGCATTAGAAGCTAGAAGTAACCAAAGGACATGCACTTTTATACCTTTGCCCTTTTCATAAACTCCTCTTGAGCAGCCTTTATGTTATCGGTTTTCCCCAGCCAAGCTTTCAGAGCACTTGCCTGAAGAGCTCGGCCATAGCTAAATGTTAATGCCCACGGCTTCTTTCCAGGGAACTTGTTGATGGCATCTAGATTAACAGTAGCTTCTTCTTCAGACTGTCCACCAGACAGAAATGTTATCCCTAAATAAGATTAAAAAAGAAAGCAGTGTCACTACTATATTTAATACTTTACATTTCATACAGGCAAAATTAATGCCATTTTGACCTTTAGATGGACCTTGTTACATGAAAAGATATTCCCACAACAAACATGAAATATAATTTAGCATGGTTGTTGCCTAGGTGTTTAGTAAACTGAAAATAGATTACTATATTTACACACACACACACACACACACACACACACACACACACACACACACACACACACACACAC